CAATCTTGTCCCGAAACTAGTGTATCATTTCATAACTATTTTTCATATTCCAAACTACCTTGGGTCGCAGTAGTGCAATCGGCTAATCCCTCAACTTAGAGTCTCCTCTGATCTGACGGGTCACATAGGTGAGTCGGTTCAAACCCCGGGAAAGCCAAAATAATAATTCTTTCTTCCTCGAAAAAGTTAAAGAATAAATCAAAGAAATCGAAGTGATCTCGAGATATCTCAAGTTAATTCGGCTCTCACTTCGTCAAATAGCCGAATAAAACCGAGAACCTACAGACTTTGCATGCCCAAACTTGTCAAAAAATTGTAACTTTGATACATTCCTGAGCGTCGCGAAACCTTTACTTCGCGCTCCGCCGAAGTAAATATACATACCGTTTAAAAACAAACCTCTCCAGGAAATGCATTTCGATTCCTACTCACTAACAAGCAAACTTTAAGTCTGTTAGAAATACACTTGGCTGCGCAATTATATCACACCCGCAATATGGTATCATAGTTCAAAAGTAGGTGGGGTGGCTGCAAATGCATCTGTAGCAGTAGTTTTAAAAGTTTTAACGCGAGAATATTCTAGCCAGTGATGAGATACTTTAAACGTTACCACTAATTCTACAATTGATTGAGTCAAGAAAACTCATTTGAAAAAGTCAATTCTGCCGTTAAGGCCCTCACAGCACGCTCTGTTTTACTCTTATTCCGTTTAGAAGGACAATGAACAACTCTTACAAGTAATCCTCTACACCTATCAGGTAATTATGGCAATTATCAACATCTAAACCCGATAACACTTTTCAGTTAACTCTGTGGAAGACAGAACCTGTTTCCTTCACTCTTTGACCGTTTTGTTGGTTTTACCTCATGTATGGTTCATTTACAAGTGCCACGGCAAATACGGGAATATCTAATCGAACTGGGTTGTTGTTGTTGTTCGAAGACAGCTCTTAAACAAGGTCGCCGTCAGGGGTTTTAGGGACTTTAAACAAATCGCTACGGCTACTTCTACTACGGCGGTCGTGGATGCAGAGTCGTGGGGAGAGTACGTCACCGTAGCCCGCCAAATTTCAATTTTAAGAAAGCGGCGCCCAAACAATGACTACGGGATTTCTCGTTCATTTGCTTTCTCTGTTAATCAACAAAACGCAGGGAAGACGTAATTATTGGAAAACCAGAAGTGTCAAATACTTTCTTGATAAAGATTTTAAAACCAGTGATTGTGAAAACTAGGGAAAAAAGGTGAGTTTTAAACTCGCGTAGTAGCGACTACTCCACAAGACAGGTCATTGTAGGATTTGGCGCTGTAGCGAAAGGTCATTTCCAAGCATGCGCAGTGCGTCATTTTTGGGCTCTTTTACTCGATTTCCGAAGTCCCTAACATCGCTGTTAAAGAATTTACGTTTTTGAAACTTTGTCACGTTCTTTCCATCTCGCTTAAAATGTCAGATTTAGGTGAATATAGAGTATCATGGTACGCAACATTTTTTCAGGAATGGATCAACCCCCTTTTGACGTGGAATGCATCTGATTTCGGTGGTATCGACGAGATCAATGTAGACGCTTCCAAAGTGTGGGTTCCAGATATCGTGCTTTATAACAGGTATTGCTTTGAAATTTACCATATCCAGTCCAAGAGGGATAAAAAAACGTCCCTGTTACTGAATACGTTGTATCTGATTAACATACTTTTCAACTGGGGGCCGGGTAAAGTATCTTGCAGTTTAAGGATGTGTCAACGGCCCGTCTTTGTAAAGCACTCCCTCTACGGTTTATTAAAAGTACTTCTTGACCATATAAAAAGAATTTTTAATGTTTGGTTACCTTAAAGTCAATTTAGGTACTTGAACTCACTTTACTTACTAAGACTAATTTTTAAGTCTGGTAATTGCTTTTCAATTTCTTTGCAACTTAAGTGCGGAATTTACATTTCCTGGAGGGACACACAAGTACAAAACAGACGTTGTCATCTATTCAAATGGACGAACGATATGGTTAGCTCCGGCCATGTTTGTGACAGTCTGCCGATTGGACGTCAGGTAAACACTGGCGTTAGAATATGATCTATTTAAGCCTGAACAAAACCCCGCCTTTTGGATAGTCGTCGTTTTAGAATTAAGTTGAGTGACCAGATCGCTGTCAAATCGATGGTCTGATGGACTGTTCCTACACTTGGTAAAAATACAAATCAGTCATTGCTTAGGTATAATTATTAAGAAATGAATGGGTGTAACTGGTAAGCCCATTTCCCTCTAGAATCTTGCAATTACGGCATTAATTTTTCATGTCATTTCCACCATCAGGTATA